AATGATTTTATTATTTAAAAGAATAATATTCACATGTTATATAAATAATGTAATATATTTAACAATTAAATTTAATATTTATTTTAATATATTATTTAAAAAAAATCTGCCTCTTAAATGGTGTTCACGATCTATCCCTGATTGTTATTAATAAATTTTGCGAATTACATGTAGGGACGATCGTAAATCAAATTTATAAAAAGTTTAAATTGAACTGGACCAATTTATTTTATAAAAGTGAATTAGTTAATAAATTCATTTTTTATAAATTGATTATTGGTTCAATGTTTTAAAAATGTGGATCGAACTTTTTTCAATTTGATTTTTTTTTTTTCACACTCCTAATAAGTGTATTATGCATGTATGAATATACTAATATACTACAATAAGATACAACTATAATATTTTCAAATAATTTTTTTTGTCTTAATCACTGCTCGTAACATCTGCCTTTTGAATTTTTTTTTCCAAAAGCTAGTAGCTATCTGCTCTTTACACAGGTGATAGATGTACCCAAAACATACAGAATATTAGTAAAAGACTCAAACTCAACTTTTCCCCTAACCATCATTGAGTGAGTATGACAAAGAAAGGTGCAAATCTAACTAGCAACAATAACAAATGTTGCATGGTCAATGCATGATAAGCCAAGGAAAAAAAAATCATGAACCGGAGTCATTGACAAGGCCATGTATCTTTCTATCCAATACTTCTGAGCAAATCTGGCCCATAGTATGATAGAAAGACAAGAGTTCAGACAACTGTTCCATTGACATTTTCTCCATTACCTTTCTTGCCATTTTTTCTCTTTCCTCATTCAGCTTCAATCTCTCTATGTAGGACCCTGCATTTCTAACCGTTGCACCCATTTGCTTTAACCTATTCTCTTGCTGCACACTCAAGGCTGTGTTGGACTGCAAATTTTAAACATAAATCAATACAGAGAAGAAGAAAAAAGTGATAACTAACTAGCACATATTCCTTAAACAAGGTAAAATGATGAATTTACACCTCATGCTAGTAGAAATGGTATCTAAATCAATACAAATAGTAGAAAAAGAAACACTTATAAAATTGTATATAAATTTTGTACCTCAAGAAATTCTGCCCCGGCTTCAAGTTCAGACACTTTGGTGGCGTTGGTTCCACGGCCAGCGTTGTAGAGGTTTTTTGCAAGTGAGAAACTACGCACTATAATCTTCCTTTTGTTTTCCATTTCCTTGTTAAGCTTAACAGGCTTTTGGATGGATGCCAAGTTGTTCAACTTCTTCTGATAAGCAACAACTGCCTTTACAAATTCCTGCATAGTTTCCATCAAATCACAAATGCATGTTAACTCAACTAGCCAATGCATAACACCAAAATACATCTCCAAAGGAATTTAACATTTTCATACCTTATAAGCAAAGGGGCATCCTGGGTAATCAAATTCATCAGAATCAGGCTTCCTCATACGCTCAGGGTGAAACTGCAATCCCATAATGAACTTACCCTCTTCTGGATTATAAGCATCAGGGTCATAAAACCCTTCAATCAAACCATCAGAGGCAAAAGCCATGGGCACAAAACGTTGTGCCAATCTCTTTACCCCTTGGTGGTGGTAGCTATTAACCCGAATATCCATTTTCCCTTCTTCCAAAGAATCCTTAAACCAATGATGCAAAGGGGTGTTTTCAACCACTTCCACATCGTGCCTATGCCCATCATAATCATCATAGTTTATGTGCATCACCCTCTGGCTCTCGAGGCACTTAACTGAAAGCTCCTTCCCTATGTCCTGGTAAAGGGTACCCCCACATGCAACATTCAGGATCTGTGAGCCCCTGCAGATTCCCAAATAGGGAATGTTCCTCTCGAGACATAGCTTGGCGAGGCTCAACTCGATTGAATCTTTCTCTTTGTCAATGGCTGTGTCACTTGCGTGAAGCCTTCTAATCTCTTCCAATTCCTCTTGTGATAGACCCGACGTGTCTTCCTCGTACCATGAGGGATCAATGTCCTCTCCTTCACAGAGAAGCACACCGTGGATTGGCTCGAAGCTATCCAACAACATGTGCACCCCGGAAACACGAGGAACAATCACGGGCACCGCGCCATACCCTACTATAAGATCAAGGTGATATTCACCTGAAAATGAAAGAGTCACATAATTAATAACATGTTTGATCAACAAAATTAAAAAGGGTCATGAATCATGATTCATGCACATGATTGGAAAATAATTAAAGGAATTTCACAATTGCACTACCACAACAAGAAGAAAGCCTTATGACTATGTGAGTTTAATTTTTTTGTAGATCTAGATCAGGTATACCCTGATGAAAGTTCCGATAAATATTTTTCTATATATACATACCAGAGATCAAACTTCTAATAATATAGTTAAAGGAGAAAGTTGTTTATCAATCATATCACACTGATATGTGGGTGAGATCACGTATAATTATTGGTAGTCATTTATCATAAGATTTGTCTTTGAATTGCACTATTGCACTGAAGGGTTTGAAGGAAAAGGAGGAAGATGAGATACGTACCAACGAAATCAACGAACTTGTTCTTGCGAACGCTTCGTCTAGAAACGATTAGAACGCGAGGGAGAATGACGGAGAGATCGGTGGACATTGTATGAGAATGAGGTTAGTTTTGAAGAAAGTATATTGTGTAGGTTATGATGGGGCTTTTTGAAGCACTATTTATACATTAAGTTATTGGATATGGATAAGGATTAGGGAATAGGGGAATAAGGAAGAGGGATTGATGAGCAATGATGAAAGGTGGGTGAGTTACAACTATGGATATATACTGAGAGAAACAACGTTGGAGTCGCAGAGGCACAGAAAAACTAGCAAACATTTTCGTGGCTCCGCGTATGATCCACGTTTACATACCTTTCAGTTTCCTTATTACTTAAATATTTAAATACTACTTTTTTAAAGTTTATTCAGGCATCAATTAGGTTAACACGTTTTAAAAAAAAATGTTTTGACTGTTGACTTAAACTTCGGAGGCTGTGTGTTTGATGGTGCCAAACTAGAGTCTTGATTTAGTTTTTTCTTAAGGCAGTATAGGGGGTTATGATAAGATTTTGTTGTCTACATGATAAGTTTGTTAATTTTATAATATCATATTTGTATCTTATTTTATTTAATGTTTAAGTCTTTAGCATGTGTTAAAAAATATAATTAATATTTTAGATTTTTTTTATATTAATTAGATTTTCCCTTAATATCTTAAAAACAATTCTATTATTATACTTTTTTATATCACTTCATAATAAATTTAAGGATATAATTGAAAAATACTTGATATTTTATATTGATATTATAAATGCTTAAATGTATTTTTAGTCTTTCAAATATAACTGTTGTACAATTTTAATTTCTTAAATTTTATTTGAGCTAGTTTAACAAGTATTGCAATCGTGTAATATTGTTCTCTTATATAAATATTTACCTATTTAAATTATATATTAGTAATTTTAATAATAATAAATATATATTTAATACATGAATGAAAAATTATAATACATATAATTTAAGTAGGTCAAAAATTGAATAATTATAATACTTAAAAGACTAAAATCTTACAATTATAATATTTGAGAGACTAAAATTATTTAATTAAAATATATAAAATATTTTTAATAAAAATCATCTTTTAAAATTAATAAAGTCACTTCCAATTGAGTTAATCGATATCATGATCCTACCTTATTAATTTAATCATTTAAAAAAAAAAAAAACACATCCACAACCTATCATCCTTTTTTTTTACCCTTCAAAAAAAAAGTATTAAAAGCTATATACATAAGTATTTCATCCATATCTAAATATTTAATCCACTAACATATTCAGGATTTTAACTCAAAATTGACAAACTGAAACAATATTAATTGTTTGTTGGTATTATCTATTGATTTAATTAAATATATTTTTATATTTTCCTTAATAACCAAGGGAATTTAAATTCATAATTAACCTTTTTCAAGGGGTGGAGCAAGCTATTAATTAATAGGATTTTTATTTATTAAGGAAATATCTTATCCGTTGCAATAATATATCATTATTAATCAATACATTGGTCTTGTCTTGTGTATGGATTTATATCGTAAAATAACATATCACACTTTTCTGAATGATTCATTCCATATATTATAATTACATAAAATATTAATTATGGTACATAGCCATGTGTTATGTGAGTTGATAATTTAAAAATACATATTTTATTAATGAAGAACAAGTTAACAGGAAAGGAGGCCTATTCCAAGCAAATGGATGTCATATATATATATATATATCTTTAATTTTTATAGAAACATACAAAATATTTGTCTCCCATTAATGAATGTTAAAGAAAAACTTGAATATAATTAAACCTTACAAATAAAATAATTTCATTTTTATCAACTTGTTAGAATAATGGGGTCGGTATGGTATACAGTGGTGCAAGACATACATGCACTTGGTTATAGTACTATAAATTTAATAGAACAGGAACGTGATTAAAATTATAGACATAGATGAGGATTTATCTGGTGCAGCACTCATCCAGTTTAGTTAATTAGATTCGATTTTTTAAGTCTTTGCTTTGTTATATAATTGCTATTTGAGCAATGTTTTTCTCATCAACAGCTTAACTATGTTGACCACTCCCTTATTAAAAGGGGAAGAAAAACGATAATAACATATAGGTTGGCAATGATACCTTTTGCTTCGTCACTGCCTACGCAATAACTTCATCCTATAAATATTATACATTCATTAGTAATTAATCATCACTCATGACAATATATAATATTAATGTTATTTAGATGCTTTAGAAGATTAGAGTGGTGTCTTTAATTTGTAACATATTTTTTTAAAGCAAATGTCTGACAATTAGTTAAGAAATTAAAGCTGATTTTTTTTAATAAAAATGATATTTATACACTCCACTGTATTTTTTTAATATATTTACGATGGGATTTCCAATTTTCAATAAAAATATTCTATTCACTAATAATGATTATTTAATTAGTATTCTAAAAAATACTACTTTGAAAATTAATTTTGACCCATTAGTTTGATAGGTCGAACCGAGGATTGATCCGAAAGTTAGCAAAAATAAGTTGTTTGAAAATCTATTAGAGTTAGTCAAAAATCAGTTGAAACAGTATAAAATCTGTTTTAAAGATCCGGTTTGAACATGACCTATTTAAAATAATGTTTTTATTTAGTTTAAAATATTTTTAATAAAATAAAACAATTATTTAATAAAATTATAAATTAAAATAAATCATTTTATCAATTATTTTTAAAACTTTTGTAAAGAATATAATTTAGTCAATTGTGTTAATTTACAATCAACTCTCATATATTAAATACAAATTTTTATCTTAGGCAATAATATTTTTAGAGATTTTTTTTAAGGAAAGATTTTTAGAGATTTTTTAACTTGTTGTCTAATTATATTTTCATTTATCATAATTATTCAGATATTAAATTTAAAATTTTAAAATAAATTATCATAAATCAAAATAATATTATGCTATAATATAAATTATTTATCATGAATCTAAAATATAATTTATATATTAAAAATATTTTATTTATATAAATTATATTCAAATATAATATTTATTTATATATATAATTTATTATAAATTATAATTATATATAATAAATAT